AACCAGCTCTGCATCTGAGTCCTCGCTCAGCCGACCCGGTCGTGACAATGAGTGAGTCTGATCATTGAGACAAATGCTATGATTTGCTGTGCCGTGGTCTTTAAAAATTAGGAAACGCCTTTTGAAAGTTATGAATTATTTATGCAACTTCTTTTCTCATCTTTAACAATGTGTGTTAAAAAAGTGAAAGTCAAAGATCACATGATCAAGAAGAGAATATTTTAGCACCGATGTCTGACATCAACCTCCTTTTCCCACAGTCTGAAGGGCTTCTTTTAAACATTGAAGACTACTGAGGAAGCAAAATGAAGGTCAGATGAAAAAAAAACAAAAACAAAACAAGAAATAGGGAAATGAAGAATGAAGCGAATGCAGATAAGAGCGAGGAGGAGAGGTTAGCAGTTCATTGTGCCAAAGGCAGGATGACATTTTGTGAAACGTAGGGTGGCACAGAACACAAGGGCAGAGGCATGTCAGTCACACTCTGTGACTCACAAGACGCCGCTGAATCACGTCAAAGGCTCCATTAGTAAAACAACCTAGTATGAGACCAAGTATTCTCCAGCTGCCCCCCCACTCACGCATCAGTCCGCGTATGGGACCTGTAACAGTGACAGGTCTGTCCCCATTCAGCACATAGAAAATCATTTTGACCATAAGAGCATCATTTAGTGCTTTTGTCATCCCTGTGTGAGCAGATCTGAATTCTGTGGCAGTTTTACAGCAAAGACTGAGGGCAATGTGTCAAAACTGACTCAGATCTTGATTTTGTGTGTTGACCTGAGTACTCCCATTTTGTGCTACCCCGCACTTCATCTGCACTACGCTTTTTGTGTGTGTGTGTGTGTGGTTGGGTGGGGGGGGTGGGGTGTCATTTTTTAAAAGCAGTTACTTTTTTTTCTTACTGCGGTCCTCCGAAATTGAAGATTTTAGAGAAAGATGATTTGACCAGATTTTGAAATACAACAAAAGAGCAAAAGCAGGCTTGCAGTCTTTTTTAGAGCCTGACGCACAGCTACTAAAAACAAAGTGCAGTCGGGGGCACATTTCACACTTATTAGCACGTCAAGGACGATGCTTCAAATTTGACACGTAGAACAGTTTGAACCGGCCTCACCTCTAACAATGACATGGTGATGCTTCACTGTTTCTGATGTTACTCACGAGGACAGAATTAAGGTTTTTTACGTGGGTGCTTCCGCAGGGTCATTTCAGCATAGTCGTTGTAACTTGTAAAGCTGTTTCTTTACTATCACGTCTGTTGAAGGAAAGGATCAGCATGTCTCTTTGAACGCTTTCCTCAAATACCTGTCCCCGAGCTCCAACACTGAGGAAAAAAAGGGTTTTTCTCATTGGACAGTTGGCCAATAAACCTAATCTAATCTCCTCAGGACACACTGTTCTCTATAATCATGTGCATTTCCCTGTAGTCTTGAGGAAAAACATGTTTATTTGTTTTTGGACAGGATGATTCTGAGGGCCAGTTCCTTCGACGAAGTGGAGGCGAAACTGTGAGGGACCTTTAATCCTCTGTGGAGTGGCAGGCCAGGGCAGGCGCATCGTGCCTGGACAGCCTCGTTTGCCTCGTTTGCCTCTCCCTTTTGAGCTGTCTTCCGGCCTCTCGGGTCAGTACACAAAGTCTTTGGTCAGACTTTCCTGATTGATTGACCTTTTTCTTTATCTAAGTTTTGCACCTGGAGACCTATGACGCCCGTGAGGACAAAAAGCGGGATGGGGTCGGAGAGTTTTAAGAGACTGAGACAGCTCCAGGCACACAACATGCTCCCACTCCACCCATCTCTTTAGGGACATTCACAGCTGCATGGCACACACACACGCGCACACACACACACACAAGTCATGATATCATAAGAGCCCTTTTGAGCCATGAATGAAAACAGGCACATTATAAGCACACAGCAGAAACTCGGGGCCACATGGGATCCGAGGTATTCACTTTTGCTGTCTAATCCTAATTACATGTGGCAGGGCGTGTATGTGAAGGGGATCGAAAACGAGTGCAGGAATAATGAGAAAGTGAGAAAGATGGATGGAATAAATATGCAGCAAGATACCGGCGAAACAGCTCAGGGTTTTTCCAGGCTGTGATTTCAATTGTAGAAATAAAAAGGTCCCATCTTTGTAAAGTTGACTTGACGGACACGTCTGATCAAACCTTTTGTTTTGTAAAATGGTTTGACAGGTCCTGGAATTTTGCAGCCACGAATATTCAGATTTTTGTTATTTCTGATTCATATTAACATCCTCCTTTGTAACTTCTCACTTCAGATTCACAGCATGACACAAAATGAAACTTTCCTCATCTATGAGCTGAATAATTGAAAAAGAAAATACAGAAAAAAAATCAATATTTAGCTGATCAGCCATTATTTTTTTACTAATTATTTTAGTAGTTTTAGTAGTTTTGATCTGGTGAATCAAAAAGAAGAAAGAGGAAGGAAAGGGATGGTTGCCTATGAGAAGTATTTTGAATTAGGAATGATAAAAAGACTGAAAACAAGAAGTGCACAAACTGACCAAAATATCACCTTTTTTTCTTAAAAACAAAAACAAAAAAAAAGTTAAAGCTAGCAGTCACAGGTGAGTTATCTGAGATTTATTAGAAACATTTTGTTCAATTACATCGTTTCAGCAAGACATAGTTTGGCAATCGACCACTGAGGAGGGCATCCTGCTAATATAGACCCTCCACTGGTGTCAGAAACATCGGTGTCGGTTTTCTGGATGCGCCTTTTAAAAACCGAACTTCACACAGACGCCAGAGTGAGTTATTAGCCTGAACGCACACGCACGCAAACGCACACACGCACACACACACACGTACACTGGCATTGTAGAAAAATAGACTGATCACCACCGAAATCAACCGATTCGAGACTTTTTTTCATTAAAAAAATCAAATAAAAACGAAAAACCTCTGTCAGCAGTCAGTTCAGCTCATGGCGAGCGCAGGGTAACGGCCCGCAGCCTGTCCAACAAACAGACAAACAAACAAACAAACAGAAAACAAAGAGTCCTGACCATCTTTATGCGAGAAAAACAGCGTAACGCGTGAGGGTTGATAGCAGCATCTGGGGGTTTGCACTGGGACACTTGAAGCGGAATGGGCAGAGCTCAGCTCAGCATCGGCGGCTACACCTGGAGCACCGCCGTGGGGGGGTCCACCAGCTCCTTCCTGTACTCCTCCAGCCAGTTCTTCAGCTCTGAGATGCGGTATCCCTCCGGACCCCTGCCCCCCTGGTACACCACCGTCTCATCCCTTACGATGTAAAGTCTCTCGAAGTAGGCTCCGTAGGCGGCGTTGGACGAGTTGTCCATGTTGTCCACCACCACGTTGCCGCCGGGCACCTCGCTGAGCATCAGCTGGGCGGCTCTCAGCCTGTCCTCCAGGCAGCGGTGCTTCGGGATCTGGTACGGCGCGTCGGAACTCAACCAGCCGTCCGACGGATGCGCCTCCTCGATGTACACAACTAAAAAGTCCGCAATGTCTGCGAACTCCCGCACGACGCGCTGAAACGCCGTCAGACGCGTCATGAATGGCGGTCAGGAGCAGCTGCCAAAGTTAAGAATGAGCGGTCTCCTCCCTTTCATGCAGTCCAGGATTCGGACCTGCCGGCGCTCCTGGACCAGCACCACCTCGGTGTTGGGCGCAGCTTGCCCGAGATGCGCCGATTTGAGAAAGTCCAGTTTCTGGCCGTGCCACACGGCCCTCAGGGACTCCAAGGTGAACATCTTGTTGGAATCAGAGATGCAAAGCGGCGGGTCGTCCGGGCTGTTCCGTTTCTCTCCCATTTTCAGCAGCACTTTTTTCCTGATGCACAGGAAATCCAGCAGCCACAGCATGGCGGCGGCCAGCAGGAACCGGGGCAGGAGCATCAGGCACAGGGCTGCACGCTTCAGCGCCCTCGCCATTTGGACACCTCCGGAGTCGTCCATCATCTCTTCCTCTGCCTATAGGACGAGACTGTGGGAACCAGTATTTAATCACCTTTAGCCATTGGAGAAAAGTATCTGACGCAGGCAGTCACTCTTTTTATAGGTACAGAGGCATTTGAATAATAGAAAAAAAAAAAGCGAGCCTCCGGTGCGCGCACCGCCCACTCACATGCTGGGGATTACCTCCCGTCAACTCTGGGCTTCAAAGATCCAGAGGACGGGAGGTGGGGAGGATGTGCCCAAACACAGTGAGGGTGACTGTGACTTCAGTCCAGACGTGTGGGTAAAACCCTAACCCTCCATAAAGGCCGGTTAAGTGCGCGTGTTTTTTCTTTCCCGAGCGCTGTGAGACCCGCAGGCTGGCCGCTCTTCCTGCTGCGAACTTAGCTCTCCATGTGCCAGACGCGGCAGGCTCCAGCAGCCGGCAGAAGGCGCTGGATTCACACACATCGGACCGGCTGGATGAGTCACGCACTAAGCAGCAAAGGGCCCCCCCAAAAAAGCAGAGCTTGGGATCAAAAGGCCCTATTAAACGGCCGCCATCAGTATTTCCCTTTGTCTTGTTTTTATGTGTCTTTATATTTTGCCCATTTTGCCCATTTCCTTGTATTGTTTGTCATCATTGTATTGTTTGTCATCTGTGTCCCAAATCTTGAAGAAGTGTCTATGGAACTAGTCAATTTGGTTGAAGTGATACCAAGTTCAGTTTTAGAAAGTGCCACCTCCTCACACAGGTTAAGGGAAGACAGACATGTAAATGCTGGACACTGTTGATGCTCAGCATGCGTCAGCCATCTCTCACACTCCCAAATCTCACCTCCTGTTTAAGAATCATCTCACCAAAAGGAACTATAGTTTCTTTGATTCCACATGAACAAATGGTAACATATTTTTAACATATACCTAATTTCCCCCTCAGACAAAAATGATTTATGGAGAACAACGTGTAATAAAAAAGATAACTTTTCCATGTTTTACTCTGTAATACTGAACTGTCCCATTCACATTGTGCTGTGAATTGTTTAGCATAATCTCGAATTTACCCACTTTCTGCCGGAAAGGTAACCAAAAGGTCATGATGGCAAATTTCTCTCTGGATTATCAGCGTTGCCTCACCCTAAGATTTAAAAATCCCTCTGATCCGTCTGACTGGTTGGTGTGTGGGTCCAGTCACAATACACTGGATGCTTAAGAAAACAAGCTGCAGAAAGTACAGTAAGGGAAAAGAAAACATTGTTGAACCCTGTTGAATAACTAAAATGTCAGGATTTATAACTCTTACGTGGTCCTATGTGGGCTTCCACCTATGTGTTACAGTTGAATTTATATTTCTATGTTTTATTACTCCATATTAAATCAAATTCGTTGCTCTGTGATTGCCAGGCCCCCAGGCTAACAACAGTGCATATTTTTTTGAAAAAAAGTACTTTTGTCCAACGAAATATTGAAAGAGTGAAACAAAAAAGACCCCAAAACACGTCTTGCTTTTACAGATCTCCAGTCATTGCTCCCTTTGGCCCAATCCTCACATGATTCCCCCTCAGGGACCATGGCAGCATTTGGTGAGTGCATTTAATTAATGGTGGCGTACTAACAGCCAGCTCTGTCCCGTTGACCAGAAGAAAAAACCTGTTAAGCAAATCACAGCCAGTACTCTTTAATGTATCCGTAAGGGCACCTTTACGTATCACACAAACACTTGTTATTCAAACTGAAAAACTCTGCGGGGAGTAGCTCATTGAGAGGATTGTTGCATTTCACACACACTGACCAGCTGGACTGTGAATGACCACTGAGTCGAATACGTATTCTAATGTTGTACCACTTCCTTAAGGTCAATTGTAACATATCTGGTCTGACCTAGAGTGACATCAAACCAAATGTTTGGAGAAATCGATACAGATTTTTTGTGTATTTACAAAGGGTTAACCAGGTACCCAAAATATAATGTGTTCAGCACTCATCCTTGTTCATCCTAAAATGCAAAATGATGAAGAGTGTGGGAGGCATCCAGCAGCAGCTGGCTCGTGCTGCACAGGAAAAGCTGCGGCTGCTGGTGGTCAGAGCTCAGACATCAGCCAGAGATGTGACTCGGTATCTAGTGCTGTGGATAAATCCAGCTAGTGTTTTTAATCGCAGTTCCCCTTCACACAAAATCACAGTGACAGCCATATCATCCTAGGGCTGGACTCATGCTCAGGGACACGGTCTGCCTCAGCAGGGCATGTTGGTGAATCAGCTCCTCGAGTTTTCCTACTAACCACAAGTGCACTGACAAAAACCTCAGACAACATAGCTGAGGGTGCACCGGGTCAGAGCTGTTTTCTATAGATTATACCGTAATGTAGTCTGGTTCATATCCTCTTTTGGGATTAAAGAAAAAATCCATTCATAATGTTGTGAGAAATGGTGCAAATAGTTATTCATTTCATGACTTTTCAACATATTCATGTAAGACGGTTCCCTTTCTTAATGCAGTTTAAATTATATATACGTGCTCTCTCCTGACATCTTCTCCATGCTTATTCAAGAAACTTGTTTTTAAAGGATTACATTATCGGCTACATTCATGTCCTCCGATTTTACCACAGTTACACTGATGACATTTTGCTTTTCTTGTACGCCGAGCAGAAAGATTGTAATCTGACAAATAGAGTGTGAACCCTTCTCCTCACGATTTTAAAGTAAAAGGCATGCAGTTAAAGACCTTTGTGGTAAGCCCACTGTTTAATTCAGCAGCTGTTCTTGTACTCTAACACACTATCTTTGTGCAGCTGTGCACAGATCTGTCAAAGTGTTCATCTCCCTCGTGGATTACGGCTACCTTCCCCTTTCCCGATCAACCCCGTCGACCGATAAGTCCCTGCCGCGCATCCAGTATACGGCTCTCCCTGTAAACAGCATTTACAAATAACACCGTGAAGTCACATCTTATACAATGTCACTAGCCCATCTTTTGTGTAGTTTAAAGAGGGCTATTCTTACTACAAAAAGAGAAAAAAATCATTGAAAACTGATGGCTTAGCTGGAATCTCGTAAAGTTTGAACAAAGTCACTTTAGCTTTGTATAAAAAAGAGATGCACAGATAACACTTTTTTTGTGCCATAGCAGTAAACATAGGAGAGAAAATAATCACTTAAATTGTCTCCTCCACTACGCATGGCAAAAATAGCTGCATTTCTTGAAATAATAATAATTGTAATGGTTTTCAATAGGTGGAATGGCCTGTGCAATAACACCCCTTTGCTGGGAATTACACCTGCCAGGTATTAAGGCTAATTGAAGACACCTGGGAGAGTTTAGCAGAGAGGCCTCTCGTTGTTTTTCAGGACGGTGAAGAAAACAGTGGACAACCTGGTGAGAACCCAGATGACTCAGATTCTTTTATATCAACAGCTGTCAGTGAGAGGTGAGTTTTCTTGTAAACAAAGTAGTAGACATGGCTGGTTCCCAGGTGCTTTGTACCACCAGAGCTTTGGTTTACGCAGTAAATCAGGCCTATTATTAGCTAAGAGCATTTTAGCACTGCACAGCTTACAAAAACAAAAACAATGTGAACATTAATTAACATGAAAACAAATAAATCATTACACATAAAAACATTCTGTCATGATGATTTTTATCGAAATTTATTAGGCATTAAATATCAGTTAGCAGAATAATTAACATTAGCCATGATTAACATATAGATATACCTCATCAAGGCACTCAACCAACTTGATTGTTGATTATAAAATAGGCAAAAAAGTAAAGATATTTCTAAATAAAATTGATAACATTAAGAGAAAGTTACTCTGTTGGAAAAAAACCCATTGTACTTTCTTCATTATGTCGAGAATTGGCTGCTGATATGGTTTTATTGTTGTCCTGTGACTCACTTGTGACTGACCAAAAACAACTAACTTTCCAAAATCATTTTGTGCCAAACTTTGTTTTGTTTTTGTTTTTTATGTTTTTTTTATATGTGGTATGTGGTCTTTCAGACTTTTAGATGTTAAAACTGTGACTAAATTATGAGAGAGAAAGAAAACAACGGTGAAATGGATCAGATGCCACTGTGGTAGTTCACCAAAAATCCAGAAAATGATTGCATTTCAATGAGTAAATTACCTGGCACTGACATACACTCTGGTGTATTCAGTTTTGTTTTGGAAAACTATGGAAAGAAGTGAACTCAGAGATTCCAAAGAACTGCCAATTAAATGTTGTATATGTCTCACTGATCCAATTTGCCTAAGATGTATCCAAGACAAGGTGTTTACCATAAAAATAATCTTCATCCCTCCAATACAAGGAAAGTCTTAACAAAGAATGCTTTTAAACAGGGAGAGCTGTAATCAGTGTACTGTTGATTTGTTTTTTCCACACTTCTCTTTTCAGCTGCTGCTGTGATCTGGATTAGACCATTGGCGTATTTTGATTATTTACATGTAGGCCAAAGGAAGGGGGGGAAATAATAATAATAATAGCACCGTGTGCTGGCTCATGATGAACTCCTAGCCAGGGTTTGACTTTCTCAGAAAAATTTAGGTTTCAGAGATCAGCTTGGGTTTAGAATCCTGCGACTCAACTTCTTGAGAGGTCATCACTGAAATACAAATTAGCCTAAGCTCATTAACTCTAGTAAGGATGTCAGCATACAAACACTCAGACATGGGTCCAACGAATCATGGGCCTAGTAGTCGCACACAAAAGCTCACACACACTCTTTGCTGTGTTGTCTAAGCACATAAGAACAACGGCGCTCTGATTTACTTTCCCTTTCACCTACTAGATTACACAGCTTGTCTTCCAGTGCTCTATGCCCTTATCTAATCACCTTTACATTTCAGGAACCTTCAATGATTCAGTGAAGTTATTAGGGAAGTTTTGTCAGTTTTTAGTAGAATATTTTTAATATATATTCAACATCTGCGCTCGCCCTTTGCCTGAAAATAATTACATTTGCCATGCTATGCTAAATCAACATCTAAAAAAAAGACCAAACTGAATCTCCTATTTC